TTTACAAATGTGGGCATTATACTGCCTGCTGAGCATAGCCAGGCATATCTCGAGAACTCTCAGCATTAGAGCTGGCAAATTTGGGATGCGTACTCTCGCAGTCCTTACTTTGATAAATTAAATACCGCATTCTAAATCAACCGTCTCACTCCTGAGTTCAACCGGCCAATAGCTATACAAACTATACATATTTAAAGCAAATCTGGCCCTATTTCATATATTAAACGAAAATTATTATGAATTTGAAGAACTTTGAAGTCAGTTACAGGGCAGCTGTTGTCGAGCTTTCTGGCTGCTTGCTGTGCAAATAAGAATTCATCATCTTTAGCGCGCACATTAAGTGCGTGTTGTGCTAAAGGTTTTGGGGCGCTCTTTTCTTTGGTTTGGCCAATTGCACAAGCATAACAAAATCAGTCCTGAAAACTGCAAATTCGCACGAAATGCCAATATGCCAGCCAGCCAGTCAGCCAGCAGCAAGAGCAACAACAACAACAACACTTCAATTGGCAACGCCAGCTTGCCCAATAGCCAAAAACATAAACAACAAGAAAGAACAGCTTAGCGCTTCGGCACGCCGAAGATCCAATACTTTATCTGGCATTCAGCAGATGTGCCTTGCATCTACTCATAGGTGAGTTGAGTGAGCTTATCTCGGATGACTTGAGCTTGGATCTCGGCTCCATTCCGATTATCAGGTATTGTAAGTATTGTTAATTTCCCTAAATTTTTCTGTATTTTGTGTGTTTCAATTGCTTTTTATTACTGTTTGCCTTAGAATACATAATTAAACATGGATTTGAACCAGCAACTTCTCTTTTGCTGGCTCGACGTTACGGCAAGTGAGCCCAGCAGACTCGCAGAGCCCACTTCTATGCCAGAATTTTGGTCGAGTTTTCCAAGCTAGGTGTAGAGCATGCCCATGCATGAAAGGAAAATACATAATTCGCCAGCTTTTGGATTCTATATCAGACGAATCACATTCAATCAATCACATACAATCAAATAAAATATACTTTTGCTTAAATGTAATGTCATTTTATATAGACTCTGGAAACTTTTCAGCGACAACTTCGACAAAAAGTCTGGATACAAAGCGCAACAAATTGATTCAGAAAATCATAAGACTCTCGCTGCAAGTGCAAGCAAACGTAAATAGCCAGCCAGCCAGGGGCAGCTGGGGAAGTAAACTGAGAGGGGGTCGTGGTTGGGGAAGGGGGAGGGGGTTGCGGCAACTGGCGCTGGGGCAACAAGTGCCCGCAACTAAATCAAGTCGCTGCAGTTGCAGTTGCTGTTGCATTCACTGTTGGCTGTTGGCTGTTGCCGCTTGCCACTTGAAAAGTGTGTGTGTGTGTGTGTGTGTGTGTGTGTGTGTGTGTGTGTGTGTGTGTGCAACATGCAACTAGCCAATCCCCCCTCCACCCACCGTGAGCAGCGCCTAATCAGTCGCTGGTTCCGCGGAACCAAAAACTCGTTCAGCTGTGAGCCGCAGCGCCGCCAGTTGCCTCATTCTTTCTTGGCCAGCGTGCGGCCCAATTCGCTGCCAGAAAGAGAATGTTTGTCTTGGCTTGACTTGGCTAGAGTTGTCTTGGCGTTTGCTGGTTCCGTTTGCAATTTGGTTTGTCGCAAGAAGCAACAACAACAACAACAGTAACAACAACAAGAGCCGGCTTTGGTATTGTTGTTATTTTATTTTATGGCCAACCGAGCTGCAAATTGTTGCTGCCCGGCGCTTGAGTAATTTGATATTGGCAACCAGAAGCTCACTTTCGATGCATTTGCGTCAATTTATTTTGCTTCTTTGTCTTTTTAATTAAATTTAATTTAGTTTTTTTAAAAATGAATTATTTCTATCGCTCATTAATTGTCTAATAACGATATAATATCGATCTTAAAACAATTAACTATTATCTTATTTCATAGATTATCGTATAAATTCTATATAATTTATTTATTTATATATTTTTACCCTGTATCCCAAAGGCCTTTAAGATTTGCTATCGATATTTAGCAATATTTATCGATATTTATCGATGCTATGCCATAAAAGATTATTCCTCGACAAAACATACAAAAATATGCATATTTATATAACCTATATTATAGCTTTACCCTGTTTTTTTATCCTATACGCCCTTTGACATAAGCAGAATAAGCTCATTCATGATATCGATAAATATCGAACTGCTTTTGGCTTATGTCATGGATTTTAGCATATCTATTCGTTATCTTTTTAGATAACTATACTGAAATATAAATGTACACCTGGACGTGCCGAATGGGGCTAAGAACAACCAGGTTATTTTGGAATGTATTTTCGATCAATTGAAGCTGGGCTTGCATCGAAGGAAGTTGTATTCATTTTGTCGCACATTTGTTGTTGCGCGGATTACAGGGCATCTGCCAGTCGAGCACTCTACGTTCAACTCTCACTTGTTGTACTTATTTCAGTTGTGCGCTTTGAAGTGCGCTTTGCACAAGTGACAAGTCACTTGCCACCTGCCACCTGCCGCATGCCACCTGCCACTTCGGCTGCTGCTGCTTCTTCTACTTTGTCTTCTTCATTGCAGTCGCTCTTCAGCTGGAAACCTTTGCCCGTTGCCCAAGACTAATTAAGCAGCTTAGCTGCAACATCATTTGCGACGAGATCCCGCAGAAAAAAAGCTCATTGAACGATTCTCTTGTATCTTTTAGTTGCCATTAGTGCCCTAACAATGGGTATATCGCTTTTGGCAGTCGATATGTACATGTCAAGCGTTATGCTGGCCTGAATCTAAATGGTACAGTGCTTGCTCGATAAGAAGAGCAGAAGGTTCGCTTCTAAGTGGATAGCGAAGCTTTGTTGTATTCGAACAGGCGAACACACAATACACACTTGGCTTGTTAGGGTATTTGATGTTCGGTCACATTGTAGCTAACACTTCCTTCTAGCCGCTTGGCCTCAGCGCTTAGAGCTTTAGTTGTTTTTTTTTCTATATAGGCGCTGCGTCTAGTCAAAAAAAAAAATAAAAAATAACAAAAACAAGTTGTTGTTGGCCAATAACTTGGCTATAATTATTTGTAGACTTTTTGCCAGTCGAGCGTTCGGCCAGTTGCAAAATCGCTTATCATCGCATACAGACCCGATATCTGGCAACTTGGTCAACTGGCGGCTCAACTGAACCGAGCCAAGCTCAACTCAAGTCTTCGAACTCAACTGAACTAATTCGGCAATCACTTAGCCACTCGCTGCCCACTTTTATTTGGCTTAAATGGGGCTCTTATAAGTCTTGGCTCTCAGGCAGCCAGATCTTATGCTTTAATCATACAAATAAAGCTGACTCAATAAAGAGTTACCATTGTTCGCAATTATATAGAATTGATTTTGTCTATTTTTTAGTCTTAATTTTTGCACAGCTCACTCGTCTCCAGCTTCTTGGAGAATATATATATTCCTGATCAATATACATATATATATATATATTATAACACATATGTATTTCCCATAGGAACATTTGATAATGACTATTTTTTTCATATAAACCCAAAATGGAATCTTTGATGGTTCGGTTCACGGCTTAAGGAATATTGCTACCTTTCGTTTCGAGGACCTCGATAAAGGTTCAAACCCCGTTCTATCAAATATTTCAAATGTATATTATTCAATATACTCTATATTATATTATTATATATATTAAAATCAATATTATATTTGGGTTGGGATTTGGTTTCCCTGCATTTCGTTCGTTTGATTTTCGTCTAACTAATTTCGGTTGAGTTTTGATACAGATAAAAAATTAACCGGAGTTGCAACTTTGAACCGGTTCGGTTGAAACATTATTTGCAGCCAGGATAAAAAAAAAACTTCTTAATTAGTTTTGGGCAACAGATTTGGTTTAGGTTTCATTCATGGCGAAGTTAAGAGTGTGAACCAGTTATTTTCTAAGCCGGTTGAGAGTCTTGTGTATTTAAAGCTATGATTCATATAAAATACATGATCTGGACACATACAATCGAACTGGTTCACTTGAAAAATGGCTCAAAGGCCTCAATATGTTTTGATTCGTGGCAAATGAATAATCTGTAAGTACTGGTACGAACCGGTTCAGCTGAAAACCGGTTCGCAGTCTCGATAAAAACATATCACGGTTTGTTTTTGGGAAGCTTGTTTGGTTCAAGCTTCGATTCGTGACAAATGAATAATCTGGAAGTACGGATTCGAACCGGTTCAGCTGAAAACCGGTTTGCAGCCTTGCTGAAAACCCTTCTCGGTTAGCGTTTGGGCAAATAGTTTGGTTCAGGTTCGATTCAAGGCGAGAAATAATGTTCGAACCGGTTCAGTCAAGAACATGATAACATGATTGTGTTCTCCAGATGCTCAATGCAGATAAAGCTAACTATATGCTGGCTGCGCACTTGCATTGACTCCAAAGCGAGTTTTAAATTCCCAGCCATACATATATACTATATGCAATATGAATATGCGAAAGATGCTTCGATCGGGCGCAACTATTTGGCTGAGGGTAGAAAAAAAAACTCCCATGATTGTGTCGTACAAATATGTTAAATTGATAGTTCTATTGCGCATAATCTTTGCTGGATCTGTGGGAACTGAGCGAGATCGAACACCAATCAGCGGGGAGTGAGGGGGGGGCGGAAGGGGGTGGATGGGAGGGAGGCAGCAACTAGCTTTAGCTAAAACAAATAGATTTCGCAGCGCAAACGATTCGCATGCACATCACGAAACACAATGCAATCGACAATTCTTGACAAGATGTGCAGCAGGCATCGAGCAGCCGCTAAAAATTCGGTTTGCATTTGGTTTTGAAATGTTTTTCGGTCTGCGGCTAAAACAGACCAACACGAGTACAGCACATATGTGTGCGCGAGACACACACACACACACACAGACACCTGACTGTGGCTGCGACTGCGGCCGAGCCGCCGCCGAAACCGTCGAAACCGTCGAAACGGCCGTCTGAACGGTCTTCGTACGCTTCGCGGCACTTGGACAATCAGTTGACGTTGAATGTTACGTCTTGACGGTCGCTAAATTAGTCGCTGGGCTCTGCCAATACACACACACAAGCACGCACACACACAAGCTGCGCCCGCGCGCTGCTCAGCAATAAAAATAAAAAAAAAAAATAAAAAATTCTACACAGAAATTCTTTTCGATCTTCTGCAAATATTTTTTTTTGTTTAATTTTTTTCCGTTGCTATTTTTTTTTTGTCTCGTGCCTACGCCGTGTGTGTAAAAGTTTCTGGTGTTGTTATGTGCCCAGTGTCGGCGTGCAGCTAATTGCAATCCGAAAGGAATCCATTTGAAGCGCGTTTCTCGGTGCCTCGCTTCCTGCTGTGTCATGTGGTGCCCGCTGCCGTTGTTGGCGCTGTTGTGCTGCTGCCTGTGCAGCCGCTGCTGGGCGCTAGATGGCGCTGCGGCCGCTGTGGCGAATCCCACATGCAGCCTGAAGGACAATTGCAATCTGGGCGAGAATCTGCTGTCAGTGAACGCTGACAGCGATCCAGTGGAATCGCACATCGCCTCCATATTCGAGGATAAGGTCAACTATAGCCTAAAGCTGTTCGCGGATGATGCCAATGCGGCAACAACAACAACAACAACGACAACTGGCAGCAGCACCTCGACCACGGTGCTGGATGTGCTCCACGATGCGCTCGCTGCCGCCAATCTCAGCGAGCTGCACCACGCAACCACCACAACGAGCCGCAGCACCGCCAACTACACGCTGCGCCAATTGAGCGACAAGCGCGAGGATGACGATCAGGTCGAGGATGACGAACGCGGTGAGTCTCCCCTTCGATATGCCGTGTCTAGGGTAACTCGGCAACTATAAGACTTAGACTTGGCAAATTAAATAGGTTGACTTTATTTAACTGTACGATGATAAATACTTTGATTCTGTGAGACGGAACTTGACTGAAATATTTGGAATTTCAGCCTTCATATTTGCCTGATGGAACTCGGGAACTTTAGAAGCTAGACTTGGCAAATTTTATATGCGAGCTTAATTTAACCAAAAGATGATAAATATATTTGTTTAATTTGTATAGTCTGTTTCACAAATCGGAAGAATAGCATTATGCAATTGCTCTAACCATACTTCGTTATATTTGTCTAATCGAACTCGGGAACCTTAGAAGCTAGACTGTGCAAATTTGGTATGAGCTTCTAATTAAGCCATACGCGGTTAAATATTATGTTTTACATTGAATAATCTGTTGCGCAAATCGGTAAAATATAATAAGGCAATATGATTTACAATTCAGGATATTTGGAAGCTAGACTTGGCGAATTTGGTATGTGAGTATGAAGAAAGGTGTTTTTACATTATAAATACCCTGTTTTACTACAGTTATGATTATGATACTATATAAACTCTTATGCACATTGCCACAGTCAAACAGACTAAAGGAACTCAGAAGGTATACAAGCTGCACTTGATAAACTTGCTATACGACTACTCAGATACCCTAAGCTAACAAATGTGCGAAGAAATGCAATCATAAGTTTTATATGAACATAGCCATGCATTCGAGCCAATCCAGTCACATCCGAGTTAGGCTTTGCAGATTTGATATGTGGGCTACACCCTACACAAAAGGATTTTACTTTGTTTTATTTTGATTGTAAAGATTAATATATTAATTTATATAAACAAAGAGAGAGAGAGAGTGAGAGAGAGAGAGAGAGAGAGCTCATCTAGTTACAGGGTATCTTCTGGCTCAGCATTCTTTACTTGTTGCTTGTTATTTTTGATTTTATAATTTCCAAAAATGTATTTGGCATAGTTACAAATAATTTCAATTTGGACTTTCTCACGCCACCCGCGCTCCTCACTTCAATGTTGTTTATTTATTTATTTTTTTTTGTAGTTTCTTTGTTATTTCTCTTGCTGTCCCCTTTTATGTGATTTCAATTGTTATTGTCATTTATAGCTGTTAATGTTATTACACACTCTCTTCGAGTGGACAGTACCCCGCCCCTCTATCCGCTCCCCCCCCCTCTCTTCGGAACACTTCAAGCTTTATGCTGTCCCTTTGCGTACTTTTGCACAACGTGAAATGTTGCATAAATGTTGCGCGTGCGTTAAATAAAATCAATTGCCCACTCCCCCTTCCCCCACCCCACCCCCCTCGCTCACCTGTCTCTTGTGATACGTACCACGTACGACGCCATCAACCTTAATGGCCACAAAGACCTCCATGGGCAGCGCTACGTGATCAAATCGAACCCTTGAACAAGAACCGCCCACAGCCCAATTACAAAGCACTCAAGTCCGTAGAGCAACAAGTGTATACGACTTGCAGTTACCCTGTAAAAAAACAACACTCTTTATGCATTTCTGCAAATTAGACCAACATGGTCAAGGCTATTTCCCGAGAATTGTGTAATTCAATTTCAAGTTTTCGCAAATATTTGACGAGCTTTTCATTTTCATGCAGTTGTGATATTTGAGCGAATTGCTTGGCTCTAAGTTTTGGAATCTCTTAGTTACAGATAGTTGGGCAAATGTTTATGATTATAATTTATGAATTTATTTAATTTGAGTGGTTAAAGATTCTTTCAATTAGCTAAAAGCGTAGAAGATATGCACATCATGAGCTGAAACATTTTTCCTAACATTTTTTCCTGTCTCTCGCATAAGGAATATAGCTTTAGATCTCACAGTCTCTGAGTTATGAATATATAGTGTATATGAGAGTCTGCATACCGAATTTCATAGCTCCAGCTATTGTAGACTCTAAGTTACACATAGTTGGACAGCTGAGGGCTCAGATATACATTGATATCTCCATCTATATGCCTATCGTCCAATCAGTAAAGCTCTGTTATCTATTTATATTTGATGTCTGCATATCAAATTATATAGATCCAAACTAACTATTTTGGCATTTGGCAGCCCACGCACAAGATATATATTCTTCTTTTTGATAAAGGGCATAAATTTGATGAGATTTGAATGTTAACTACTTGTACGTAGGCTGAGACAATTGTCAGCGAGCACTTCCGGTTCGATGCGTCATGCCGCGCGTCTCATTAACATGTCCAAGTGTCTGTCTACACATTCCAAGCCCGCGCACCTGCTCCCGCCACCGCCCCCCGTCCCTTGTCGCAGCTCCAGAGTCTCTGTACTCTGCCCAATTTAAATTGTTGTCCACTTATTCTTGCTAAAAGGTTCGGCCTTGTTGTTAAGTTTTGGTCAAATATTTGTGCTGTGATTGCGGGCGGGCCAAACGCAGTCGAAAAAAAAGTCCCGTGCACTGGGCTAGAACAGACTCTGTACATATGGAGGCATATAGGTTTATATATACATATATTTTTTGATATGCCCAAACAATAAGTTGTGCTCCCACACCCGAATCCAAGCCCAAAGGCTGTTGCAATGTGTCAACTTGCACGGAACTTGTGATTTTCAAGTGTTGACATATGATCTTTCCCTCAAAGACAGGTAGATACAAAACAATCTTGATCTGTTTATCGTTAATCAACACTAGACCTCAGTCTAAAAAGTTAATCAACAATAGAACTTGTGTCGAAGCTTACGAGTAAGGGTTGGCTGATGATGTAAGCCCTCTGGGCACACGTTTTGCTCAGAAAGACAACTTAGTGTTAAACAATGTTGATCTATTTAGCGTTTACCAGCACTAGACTATAAATGGGTGTTGGCAGTTTATCTAAGCCCACTCAGCCCAAGTCCTGTTCCATAGATATTAAGTTCAGCCGCACATAGCTGGCGAATTCAAGCGCAAATTTCAACGTGCATCTGCTGGCACATAATCAATCTGCGTATCCTTCTCTTATTGCTTAACATTGTTTGGCATTAATCAACACTAGATTAGATACAAGCGTACATTGTGCAGCACTCGTGCAGCCTCGCACGAAAGCAACGTGACTTTGGCTTTTGACCAAAAACTCGTTGCTGGCCAATAGACCAAGCAGCTTATAAAGCTAAGAGTACTCTGGCTGCGACTTTAATTGTTGTTTATGATTATGAGGATGACGATGACGATGTCGACGATGATGATGATGGCAATGATGATTTGGCACTTAAAAGGTTACTCGACGATAGGAGCTTGACAACTGAAGCGTTTATTAACTGAATCAATCAGCATTTAGATAGGCCAAATAGAAAATTCTGATTATCAAATTGAAATTAACAAAACGGTAGCAAGTCTTTGCAATAACCGTTGCACTCATAAATGGTTAACGCTTAGCCAGAGGCGCCCAACTAGCGAATACCCTTTAAACAAGTGCACTACGGATTTTATCATTAAATAACTTTGATCTTTTGAAAATCTGGAAAATCTTTAAGAACTTGAAATAGAAAGAAAGATATCACAACTTTCTATTCTATATTTACATATTCACATACTAGCTGCTACTATAACACCTCGCTTCAAACACTTATAGGGTATTCCTTAAGAGCTTAAGCTAACTGCAAATTTTATTAGCAAACATGTTAAAGATACATGCTTGAGAGTACAAGATATTTCAGATGATGCCACGCTAATTGGCAGCAAGAATAACAATAACAAAACGAGTAGAAAATAAAGAAAAAGCAAAAAAAATCACACAATCGATAACTTGAAGATCGATTAAAAATGCGGAGTCATGATCAGTTAGCTTAAATGACAACCAAAGAAATAACAAGATAATCCGTAAGAATGAAGAACACACAAAAAAAAAAGAACTTTCAATTCTTGTGTACGCCAGAAAAAAAAGCTTGGATGAGGGAGAAGGTGAGGTAACATTACGGTTATGCAAGATAGAACACAACGAAGATTTAATACTCTTCCAATTAGTACAAACATTTTTTTGAGAATAACTTTATCTATATCGGACTCAATCGACTGAGCTGTTGCAACTCAAGTTCAGTAGATTTATCGATAATCGGATGTCGTTTTCCTTTTGTGCTTCTCATTTCTAATGGACCAAGTAGTTGCTCTCCTGCAAACCATCTGCTGCCTATCGGTTCAAAGGTAAATCGATTATTAATCGATGCAAGTCTTTTGTGTTTTCGCGTCCTTTGCTCATGATTTTTATCGACTTGAATCGATTACTTATCGATTAATGCATGCAGATTAGGCTGCAAACTCTGATATACATGTCAACTTTTCTTTCAGTCGCTACCTTCACTATTTCCGCCAATTGTCTTGAATCGATTATTAATCGATCAACGTTTCTTAATTATGCAATAGCTTTTTACTTCCTGCATGTTATCGGTCTTCAAGTTTTTTGTCTCCTGAACTTTTAATTGTCTAGAGAAGCTGATTTCATATTTCCCAAACGTTTCAATCGCATTTACCATGCCGAGCACAACATTAAGTTGGCCCTAAGTGAAGATTTACGAGTACCGCCTGCCTGTGGAATTTTCAATTCTTCCTTGTCTACGGGCATAGGGTATGAGTGTGAGCATTAACATATGAGAGGGAATGCGAGTATTTGCATTTATTTTCTTATATGCTGTTCGCTAAGTAAAACAGGGTATATTGGTTTTGTGTCCGAGCAGGGTATAGGGTATTTGTTAGCCACGCTTGTTTCGGCTGCTAACTGAGTATTGCGAAGTCGTTTGCATCCGACTGAAAGCCTTCAACTTGCTTTCCATATGGCTGCGGCAATTTTAGATTCTAATGTGGATTATCGCATCTTTAGACGTATATAGAATATGACGACAGGGCAGACACACACACACGCACAGACAACAAAAACACACACCCACACACACACACACATTACGCAGTCGTCGCTTGTCGCCGCGCTTATCTGACGCACTTTGTCAGTTTGGGGACTGCCCAGCTCCTCACCCCCCTTCCTCCCGTTCCCCTTGTCATGCTCAATACGCGCGCGCGCTTGCCACGCCCCGCGGCATCGATGCGCCCCAAGACGGATGCAGGCAATGAAGCGTAACTAGCTGACAGATATGTCGGAGCGACGTCGTCGTCGTCGTCGTCGTCAGACGCAACGCATGCGGAATGCCAAATGAGAGCTTGACAAATTGAAGATTTGTTCAGCTTGAGCATAAAAAAAAAACCCAGAAGAAGAAGCAGAGGCAGCAGCAGCAGAAGCAGAAGACAGCAGGCGACAGCCCAACAATGATAATGATAATGTTAATAAGAACAAAGCAACAACAACAACAACAACAACTCGCAAATTGCGTGTTGCATGCTGATTGTGGCACGAGCACAAAACCAAGCCAAGCCGAGCTGAACTGGAATTCGAAATGGAATTGGAATTGGAATCGGAATCGGACTTGAAATTGGAATTAGAATTGGGCTCGGGTCTAGCTTTGGGCTTGGCACGCACGCAATGCCATAGAAAATACAATAAATAAATAAATAATATAATAAATAAATAAATAACTAATTTGAGTAAATAAATAAAAGGCAGAAACATTTTTTTGTTTTGTGGCGCCTCATTAGCGGCCATTTCTATGCACTCGGCTTCTGTTTGGCTTGCAGCGGTTTTTCTTTGGTTTTTGGCCGCGTTGCCAACTGCGGTTCACAGTTCCACTTCCTGTTTGCGGGCACGCGTCAATTTCACAAAAGGTGGCAACATTAATTTCGATAAGTGCTCGTTATGCGATAAATTGCCTAGCCCCAAAACTGAGACACCCTGTGTTTTTCTTTGTCCAAAGGACGCTCTTTCTCTCTCTATAAAGGTTGTCTAGGCCAGAGAAGTCGGCCAAAAAAATAATGTAAATATGGCTCAGTTTGCTGTAAAACAACTTTTCCATATTTGACTTTCAAATAATTTAGGCAAATATCATAAATTCAAACAGAATGCATATTTAATATTTGCCCCAATTTGTTCTTCTTTCTCTCAACTTTAAACAAACTATTTCAGTCTATTATATTTACATAATTTCTTTGCTCTAAAACTGTGAACTATTTTCAAATGGTAAAAGCAAAGAACAAGCTAATTGGTGAAACAGAATCTTTTTCTAAAGAAAGCTCTATTTGGGCTTAGGTAGGGTATTTTTGGGGTTTTCGATTTGGCCCAAAGCCCTGTTTATTGTGTGGCCCAGCTTTTCTATATGCATTTCATTAAACAGGCTAGAAGATATATAAGAGCGCGCGCCTAAAACCTAAGAGATTTATTGAAAGTAGAGGATTTTGGTATATATTCTAATCGATTGCTTAGCAACGGGGTATGTTATCGGTTATTTGAGAGACAGACAGACAGAAGGAGGGACAGACGGACGGATGAATCGACAGAAGGACTTCGGCTATTGATGCTGATCAAGAATATATACTATACCGGGTTCAGAGATGCGTCCTTTTGCCTGTTACATACTATTGCACAAAAACAGTATACCCTTTTAATTATTTTCAATGGGTTCAGTGTATGAGAGACAACACTTATCTTCGGGATGCGGTACATTAAATACTCCTGAGAAACATGTGTACATTGGTTTGTGTTATAAGAGACGAGTTGTAAAACAGCATCGATGATTGAACCGAGCGCATGGTCATTCGAATGCTTAAATAAACATATAGACAATTAGGAAAAGACTGCGGACTCAGCACAATTAATAGACATTAATTTTAATTAAAGCACAACATATCTTATCGATATACAATTATCAATTGAAAACCTATCATTAATCAATGCTATCGATAGTTAGTTAGCGTTAATTTGCCATCTCTAGCAGCGCAATCCCTTGGTGCAATCCCTAAGCGAATGGGCAACGCCAATGTCACTTGCACTTTTGGTCGCCAGGGGGCGCCAGGTCTTGAATTTGGCTTGCATTTCATTTGATGTAAATTGTAATTTGTGTGAAATTTGTTTACTTTGCAGTTTACTTGTACAATATTGGCAAACGATTTCTGGCCATCTCGCAGCCTTTCGATGCGGCACGCAATCCGGATGCCTCGCCGCTGTGCCGCGCTCAGATGCGACGCTATTTGAAGGCGTTGAACAATTTCGATTTGTGGGCCTTGAAAAGTGAGTATCCGAGTGCATGTGTGTGTGTGTGTGTGGCAGTGCTGCCAAAGCTCGAATCAGAATCAGAATTCGAGTCATTGCCAACCGGGCAAGAGGCAGGCGAGAACCGCAGACGCGACGACATGAATTGAAAGAGTGCAAAGTCAAATGAATTAAATAATCAAGTTCTGAAATTGCAAACACACACACACACACACACATGCACACTCGTACACATACACATACACATGTGTCGTGCGGCTAAAGTGAAGGTCAAGCGTCGAACTTTACCCACATTTTGCGCGACTCAAGCAGCGACAGCTGCCCCAATGCCAAACGCAACAACTGAATTTAAGCCAACTGCAGCAAATTGCAGCAGCAACAGAAGCAACAGCAGCAACAAAAACTATGCGAACTTGGCACCAAACTGCGGCCAGCTGGCTGCGAGCTCAGCATCAGAACTAGAGTTGGGCGCGTGACACGAAACGAGCACGACTCACTAAGAACTCTAAGGAATCACACTCAAGAATATATACATATATAAAAAAAAAAATAGCTGCATACTTTTGAAAAAAAAATGTTAATGTTATAGTCGAGCGTGCACGACGGGCAGATACACTGCTGCGATCATATTACGGCACGCGCCCATCTCTAATCAGAACGAGTTGTGCGATGAAATCACAGTCAAGGTCGCGGCGCATGTCGTCTATGCACTTGTGTGTGTGTGTGTGTGTTTTCATTTTTCATTTTGGTGTAGCATGCAACACCTGATAACTAACTAATACGCCATTTCTTGCAGTGCACGATGCCAGCGGCAAACTGAACTCGGGCATACTCAATGGCAACATCAACCAGCCGGGCGACTTTGATCAATGCATGGGCATACAGCAGGCGCACGATGACGTCACAAGCGGCAACAATAACGATGACACGCAGGCGAATTCGCCGCTGCGCGGCCAATACTGTTTGGCATACGCACAGCCAGTGTTACCACATAAATCGAAACGTTTGCAGACCTTCTTTAAGCTGCTGCAATCGCACGGGCCCTTCAAGAGCGAATTCAATGACGTAAGTAGAACGAACGTGAGAGCGAGAGAGAGTGAGCGTCGATTAGAGAGAGAAGTGCTCTTAGTTTGGCTTGCCAAAATGCGATTCAAAAGTTCAATTCATTCTTGGACTTATGGGCCTAGACTAGTTCGGCTTAGAACCGGTTTGCAGCAAGCACAGGCTTTAAGGTTTTTATACATATGTATTTCAATTTATATTTTATGCCTTTTATGTGCAGCGCTCAAGTTCTCAAGTTCGTTGGCCAAGTGCTCGCACTTAATGCACTCGAAATGGCGCGCTTTGCACGTGACTGCGATTGCAAATGGATTAAAAGCCATAAAAGGCAAAGGCGTCCATGTGTGTATGTATGTATGTGTGTGTGTATGTATGCATTTGCTTAGGCCCGGCGACATTTATAAAAATAGCCTCACGAAAGTTAGTTCAGCTTTCGCTCGCACAATTCGCCGCGTTGCTGGCCTGCGTTAGAGAGAGAGAGAGAGAGCTAGAGAGCGAGCGCGAGCGAAATGCCGCAACAAACAGCTACAGTTGTAGTAGTTTTTGCGGCGAGTTCGACATTGAACTTGACGAGAAATGCGAGCAAGGCGAAGCATTCGATTTGATTTCGCCATAAGAAAAAAAAAAAAACAAAAGCAGCAAAAAAAAAAAAAAAACAAAGTCGCATTAAAACTAAAAACTATTTGGCATAATATGCTAATCGTTGGGCTAGCCAAACGGCCGAGGTTCAGTGAACCCAATAAAGCGGTTTCTTTTTTAATGAAATTCTTCTTTTTCGATTTTTACGATCACAACAAATCGTTGGAATTTGTTTGAGCAGAATGCGTAAATTCGCCATGTTTTCTGTTCGCAAGCAAGTGACTTAAGCAACAAACTTGCGCATTTGACACAACTCATATCCAATCACCCTTCTTCCACCTCCTTTCACGCTCTTACAGCCGGGTCACCGTGTACCGCGCTACTCCCTGATCAATTGGGGCATCTGCGTGCCATCGGGCTGCACGTACCGCGACGTCGAGTACAGCGTGGCAGAGTATCTGCGGAATCAGACGGCCGCGACGGGAATCAGCTTCAATGTGCGTGTCGAGCCGCAGATGTGCCAGGTGCGGGATCCACAGCCCTGGGATCGGAACACCACCTGGGCGGTGCGTTTCTTTGTGCTGGTCGTTTGCCTGGCGGTACTCTCCACGGTCTATGATCGCAGCACCAAGACGCAGCCGAAGCAGAGTAAGTGCAGCTGCCAGTTGTGAGCGATATCCATCCTAATCCCTGACCTGCAGATGACTGGTGCACCGCCTTCTCGCTGGACAAGAATCTGCGCTGGCTGTTCAGCACGCGCAGCTCGCCGGGCGACATCGAGGCCGTGCATGGCATCCGATTCCTGAATGCGATTATGCTCATCTTCTCCCACAAGTCGATGGCCATGTTCTTCAATCCGTACAACAATCGAACGGCCATGTCGGAGAGTCTGGGTCAGCCGTGGACGGTCATCGGACGCGCCGCCTCCCTCTACACGGATCCTTTTCTCCTGTTCAGCGGCATGTTGACCTCCTACTCGCTGTTCGGCCGTCTCATGAAGCAGCAGCCCATTCGGCTCAAGAATGAGTACATCAGTCGTCTGATGCGGTAAGTCGGGCAGACTCTTGATTTAATAATATATACACCTGTTTGAGTCAGTTACAGGGTATCTCAAAGTTGACTACTTTCCTTTAAGCTGGCTGATTTTCTATTTCTAGCCAATATTCGAAAACAAAAACTATTTCCCAGGGTATATACTACGACAACTAAAATAAACTTCAAGGGTATTTGCTAGCCGACCACTTTCACGAGCTTACAAACTGAAATCTTTTAATTGAGGGGTATCTGCTAGTCGAACGCTCTAACTTGATACAAACAAACTGAACAATTTGATATATGCATTATTTATAATCAGAAGTAAAGTTACAGGGTATCTGCTAGTCGACTACTCTAACAAGCTCACGAACTAAATTCGTTTATCTTTTCTCTCAGACCTCTAGAGATTTGTCAAAGACATAATTGAGAATCAATTGAAAATAACAGGGTAACTGCTAGTCGACTACACATATAAAGAATTTTTTAAAAAATTATTTTTCCTAATCGTTTCTCCCCCCCCCCTCTTTTTTATTCGCAGCATTGTTCCACCGCTGGCCGCCCTGATACTCTTCTGTACGTACGTGCTGCCCCTCTGGGGCTCCGGTCCGCAGTGGAACCTGGTCGTGGGCCACCATGCGGACATCTGCAAGCAGCATTGGTGGCGCAACCTGTTGTTCATACACAACTATTTTGGATTCAGCGAGATGTGCCTGACGCACACGCATCATCTGGGCATCGATACGGAACTGTTCGCTGTGGCGCCCCTCTTCATCTTGATCCTCTGGCGTTGGCCTCGTCGCGGCCTCCTCGCCCTGCTGCTGCTCTGCACGATCGGCACTGCGGCGCGCTATTACACAACCATTGTTAACCAGCTCTCCAACTACATATACTTTGGCACCAAGTGAGTAGATGCACACTTATATTTTATACCCTGTACGCATTAAAAGTGGGTCATGTCCGATTGCATAGTCTGTATGTATACGTGAGCCGTTCGACATGCTCAGTTGATTCAGACATGTCCGTCTTTCCGGGCTAGAATTGTGCTATTATCCGTTCGATATCTCACTCAATACAATATCGATAAGTATCGATGAACTGTTTCGATATCACTTCCCATCTACGCAATATCGATAAGTATCGATTTTTAACCACGATAGTTTCTTAACATATTTGAGAGAATTATATGAGCATATCTCCTATTGTTCACACACATTAAGTTTTTTTCAAAGCATCGATAAGTTGTATCGATATCGCTCCTCATTTGCCTAATATCGATATATATCGATTTTTAAACAAAGTGTTTTAGAGACTCTGAACTAGAGACTCGAAATTCGCCCTCTCCTCCTCCCGCTTCGTTTGATTTGTCGCACTTAATCGATAAGTTGCTTCGTTTCGATTAAAATCGATAAGAATCGATTTGCAAATTCTGCTCTTCGAGCATAACACGGCGCCTATAGCAACCAGAGACAACTAATTTTGTATGTAGACTCTAGTGTAGTATATCTTTGGATCTATTTTAACTGTTCCCAATCAAAACTTAATAAAGAGCCTTATTTGAAGCTACAATCTGGGACTTTGGTATTTACTCACATTTGAGTGCAATATTTAAGATCGGACAATTTCTTAAAGATCGGACAACAAACACCGAAGTTATGCAAGAACGGAGAAAGAAGATCACTTTTACGTTCTCTTTCATTAACTCTCTCCCCTCTCCCCTCCCTCCTGTCTCTCTTTCTCGCTCAGCATACAGCGGCTGTTCCGCACTGCGGACTACATGTACTCGTTCCCGCCGCACCGCTCCACGGTGTACATCATGGGCATCCTGCTGGGCTATGCGCTGCGCAAGTATCAGGGCGTCCAGCTGAGTCCGCTGCAGCTGCGTCTCGGCTGGCTGGCGGCGACGATCTGTGTGCTGGCCTCGCTGCTGGGCCCGGCGCCGATGGGACACATCGATTACGTCTACAACTCGACGCATGCGGCGATTTATGCGGCATTTGCGCCGATTGCCTGGTGCCTGTTCTTCTCCTGGATTGTCTTTGTCTCCCACAATGGCTACAAGAGTGCGTAAATTGAAGGCAGTTGCTTCCGTTTTTGCATTTCGACTAATCGTTTCGGCTTTTCTTTCCAGATAAACTGACCAGACTGTTTAGCTGGCGCGGCTTCCAGGTCTCCACGAAGCTCTCGTATGCCATTTACCTCACGCAGTTCCCCGTCTTCTTCTACAACGTCGGACGAAGGCGTCACATACACCACTATTACAACTTTGTCTCGATTATTGTGAGTATATTGCAAGGTCGTATATATATTCCTGATTCTGGTTCAGTTGTTGTAGCCACATGTCCGCTTCTCGCCGAGTCCCTTGGGCGTTTTATTGGCATAGGCTAGTTTATTTTTATATATGTCTAAAGTCTACCAGATCGGGTGACTATATCATATATGTACCCATATTGCCGATCGGCAATTGGAAATATGAACATTCTTTTTTTTCGTATTCAAGATATCTTCAACAAACTTCGCACTTAAGAGCTTCTCTTTCTATATAATATAGAATCCATAGCAAGAATCAGTCTAAAATCAGTTCATTCCACTCAGACTGTGTTCCAATTGGAAATATACAAATATACTTCTCATGGAATATAGTCCCCATGGGGAAATAAGTGAAGTCTTGCTCTAAACAGAATTATATATTATATAGTTTCCATGGGAAGTTGGGATACATCATATACAGATCGGAACATGTTCCAATTGGAAACATACAAATAGAATTCCCGTCAGATTTACCCATTCTGAGCGGAATACAAATATAGTTCCATGGGAAGCCAAGTACAATCTCATTCCAATCCGAATTACATAAATATAGTTTCCATGGGAAGTTAAGATAAATCATATTCCAATCTGAGCTATACAAATAAATTTCCCAATCGGAACAATATATATATAGTTCCCATGGGAAAATAACTAAAATATTATTCTAATCCGGATTATATAAATCAAGTTTTCATGTAAAGTGAGGATAACTCCGAATCCGACCGGAATCCAATCCAATCGGAACGGTACAAATATAGTTCCCAATTGGAACTATCGTTCGAAAATTATGAATTCATCTATGTATTGTAAATTTGTGGTATTCTATTTACTTTATGTTGTTGACTTTTGCTATTCGTCATTAATTGGAAACTTTTCTGCTTCTTCCACGTGCAGCTCGATACCAACGAATTTATCTCGATCTTTTTGGCCTCCGTCGCGCTGACGGTGCTCTTCGATGCGCCTTTCCAGAATCTGAAGAAGCTGCTGATCAAGCGACCCGCCGCCAACCAATCGAAGGCGCCAGCGACGACGCCCAGCACAATGCCAACTGGCACTGCCTTACGGGAATCGGAACCGGAACGAAAACTGGTATCGGAACCGGAACTTGTTCCACTTCAGCCACATCCGCACGCCGATTAGCCTGAAGCTCTCTTTGTATTTGTATTTTGTAAATTTGTCTTAGCATTTAGTGGCAATGTATTTAATTACCCCGGATAGCCTACCCTACCCCCCCCCCCCCGCTCTCTTTCATTACCACTGCCTAATCTGCCCGCCCCGCCCCCTACCTCCTTGAATTACCGACCCGCCTAGTCTTAGTGAAACGCTTTATACATTGTAAATTGTACATTTAGTCAGATTTCGCGTTGAGAAAAATACGTTTTATATTAATTTGATAATCTTCCTTGCTTTTCTCTTATTTTTTTTTTTTGATAGTCTTTAATTAACCAAACACTGCTTATTGTTGTTGTAATCTTTGCCGGCATTATCTTTATCGGAATCCCGCTTTGCTATAAAGATTATCAGCATAATACTATATATATATATAAATATACGAGATATCTAATCTTAAGCCAGGTCGATTGCGCTTTATTTTATTTAATTTTTATGATTTTATTATTTTTTTGTTTTTGATTTTGTCCTAATTTAATAAAATCGTGAAGCACGTAAATATGCTGTACTTCTATAAGTTGTAACTTCTCTTTTCTATAGTCGACTTTTGGGCGGAAACATAAAAAAACAAGTAGTCGGGAGCTCCCGACTAGGGGATACCCTGAACCCTCTTCTTCCAACATCAAATGCATATATATATATTCTATTTTAGAAGCTATATGTCATGTTTCGTGACTAGCTCTTATTATTTACCAAAATTGCCCAAAAAAAACAGGATATCGATTTTTATCGATTGCTTGGAAACGGAGTAAGTTATCGATTATCGGAAACAAATCTGCGCCGGCACTAGGAGCACCTACATCTAAAATTTCAAGTCTCTAGCTCTCATAGGTTCTGAGATCCTTGCGTTCACACATACGGACGGACGGACGGACAGACAGACGGACATGGCTAGATCGACTCGGCTATTGATGCTGATCAAGAATATATATATTTTATGGGGTCGGAGATGCTTCCTTCTGCCTGTTACATACGTTTGGATTTTGCACAAATACAATATACTCTTATACCCATTTTTAATGGGTTCAGGGTATAAAAATTGCTCTTTTGCGCATTAACCGGCCTTGCCCGGCTCGAGTGCATTAAACTAAAATAGCTCCGGCCGAAATAAATCGATTTCAAAGTGCATTTTAATTTATAGTTTATTCTCTTCTTCCCATACTTTCAAGTGCAGCAAATCCCGTTGACATTTTGGCTGATTTTCATTTGATGCCCTCAAAATTTCAGCATGATCGGACTTCAAGCACCGAGACACACAGTTGGCATCGTGTGAAGCAAAGTGAAAGCAGGTAGCATGCTTGTAAAGGGCACTCGACGCTGGGTTCAGACTATTTTCCAATCGTACATATACCCTAGCACTAGCACAAGGTCCCAAGACTATCTACAAATTTGGCGCTTCTTCGTTGGATTTCGACACACATTTCAAAAAGAGAATATGAGGAATATGAATATGAACAGCTCACAATGGCTACGAACATAAAACAACAGAATATAGATTCTTGTAGAGTGAAATAATATATAGGGTATATGCTCTCGTAGAATAGCCTATATCCTACATTTTAAGTTCCTAGCTATTGTTGGCTTCTCAAAACAAAGAAAACAAACATCTTGTTTTGAGTAAAAACGAGACTTAGAAATAATATCGCCGGAACGCCGAAGATTCAATACCCTTGTAGAGATTTCCCTTTTGCAGATATGTGAGAAAAGTGAAGCTCGCAAATACTGAGCTCGATTATAAATGCCGAGCCTGGTCGAGATATCTTCATAAACAGATATATGACATGGTGGTCCGATCCGACTGGCTTCGACATATGCAAGATTCCAAGATGATAGCTTTACAACTGAGAGACTAGTTCGGACAGTCGGACCTGGCTATAACGACTCGACTGTTGATCTAGCGTACATATACATAATGATATCGGAGATGTCTTCTTCTATGCGTTACATATTGCATGACAAAACTATAATACCCTCAACAAGGCTATAGTGCTCTGCAAAGGCAGCAGAAGAGCCTAGGTTCAAATTTCAAGTCTCTAGCTTTTAGAATATTAGAGGTACATACATTTGGAAATGCATAGATCGACTCGATTGTTGCTGCCGATCATGAAAGCCTATTCAACACAGTTTAACTTATTTTACAGGGTACTTAGATCGTTTCTGGCCTAACTGTGTTATCAGCCATTCGTAGTGTTTGGTTACACAGATAATATCAAAATATATGCATGTTTCTAGAATCTTTCCAATTGGTAAACAATATTTAACTATTTAGAGGCAACCACTTACCAAGCGTGTATCAACGAATGCCTAAATCAGTACAAAATTTCCTGCTGGGTCATGAATTTGCTGCTCATGCATAAAGCAAATACAGTTATGCTGCCTGCCAAAACTCCATTAACTGTTATCCTAGTGTGGAATGCCAAAACTCGATTTAACTGTTATCCTAGTGTGAAATGCCAAAACTCGATTAACTGTTATCCTAGTGTGATATGCACTGCTAATTAATTGGTTCTCCTTATTATTGTAGTTAAACGATTTAAAGCGAGATAAAGATTTGCTGCTGTTTCCCTCGATTCTGCTTGCTGCTGCGTCCGTTCACGTTCACAGTTAGATTCATTGTGAACGTGCCGCCTTCCAGTTCAAGCAATGCTTAACCTCATTCTTCTTGAACCTGCTGCTATTCCAGTGCAGTGGTAAATAAAAATGAGAAGGTTGCACCAAATTTTGGCCTTGTGCTGCAGCTGCTCTACGTCACAACAACAAAATGTTCAGCTGGCATTCATCTGGAACTCCAGCAATGTGCAATTGCGATTCACAATAACAAAAAAAAAAAATAACATAAAAAAAAATTATAAAATAAAATGGCACACATTTAAGTTCTTCCTAGTTGCACTTGCTCTTGTTGTTGTTGCACAGAATCACCGATAAAAAAAATATATATATATACGCACAATTTTCACTTAATGAAAAAAAAAAACATATTAATTTATTAACTCCAACCAAATGTTGAAGCATTCATTTTTTTTTTGTTGTTGTTGTTGCTGCTGCTGCTGGATGTTTAATTTGTGGTAACTGCTGCTGCTGCTGCACCCCCGGAAGCCGAGAGTCTATTTGCCGGACTGAGCCTTCTTGGGCTTGGCCTGGGTGCCCTCGCGGAAGCCGTTGCGGAAACGGCGGCGCACCACCTTCAGGTGGCTCATGCGGCCGGTGCCGGTGGTCTTCCTCCTCTTGGCCTTGACGGACCAGTTGTCTGTTACCGAAAGGCACCCAAAATTAGTAAAGAGCGTGGACTGATGAGAGAAGGGCAGGGCAGGAGTACTTACATGAACGCAACTTGGCAGCGGGATAGCCGCACTGGGCGCAAGTGGACTTCTGGATGTGGTAGGAGGAGCGTCCACAGCGACGGCACAGAGTGTGCGTCTTGTTGTGGCGTTTACCAAAGCTCGAGGTACCCTTCGTCTGTAATCGAATATTGTAATTAGTATTGTGCACAATAGGCGCGCCATCATAAATTCGCCAATTTGTTTATGTTATTTTTGTGTTGCGGCCGCCAGTGTATATTTGGCACGGGATCATGGTAAATTTGAACATATTCACACTTGGCGGCATGCGCGCAAAATTTACAGTATATTTTCAATAAAAAATATGCGCGGATGTTTAGTGAAATTGGCGATTTTATTTTGGCTTGAACGTGGATAATTTTTTTGTTAACACACCATCTTGTATGGCGAACGCTCGTAGAAGAAAGAGCGAAAGAGAGGCCCAGCGCACAAATGTCAGTTTGACAGCAGCTGTCACAAATATGGCGTGCTGGCAGGGTTGCACACGGCTACAGCGCCCTCTGCTGGCCAACAAGCGATGACTATCGATAGTGAGCGCGCAGCCAACTTCATGTGTGTGCAAGCGATTACACGCGATAGATGGCGTTAGCAGCAAGGCGCGCAATTCAAATTTGAATTAAAAACCAATTTGTTTCGCATTTTAGTTAAAATATTCATTGTTTTATTTATGAAATAAATTATTATTATTTACATTGGAAATAATGCACGAAATACAAATAATATTGCATACAAAAAAAAAATCGATTAAAGAAACATTCGCTTTATCCAATAAAATTGTACACACGCGCGAAATATATGCAAAAAGGTTAACTATATATATAGAGAGAGAAAATTGTGGTGTGTGTGTGAGAAATGGAACTAAGTGCAGAGATATATGTTAATTTGCTGAATAAATGGTCTAAAGACTTTTTCGAGTACTTTTTCTTTTTTTTTTTTTGCCGTCAATGGCACGCGTACTACAAATATTATTTACTTGATTCGATTTGCTGATAGGGCAGATATATATATGCATGTACTGGGCACTAACGTTACGTAACTAAGTTTTAATTTGCGACTATGCGCAAGTCGATTTGGCCTAAGGCCTCGCCTCAGGCTAAACCAAGTTGCACATAATTCCTGCTCTGGGTTAGGGCTGATCGGTTGATATCGGTATTATTTACGGTGCTCTTTCTCTTCCTCTTCTTTGTTTGTTTATTTTTTTTTTTTTTTCAACTAATTTCTAAGTTATATAAACCACGCCACGCCTCGCCTCGCCTCGCCTCGCGCCTCACACATATTTCGCTTTTTATTAACTAATTCATAAACAAATTTCAACTAAAAACTTTGCAGCAAGCTTATACGAGAGGGGGGAATGGGGAAGGGGGGGGGGTAGACAATTGAAAACTAGTCACGATTATCTATATATATATAAAATATCTCGACTTTTACAGTTTTCAGATTTTCTTAAGCTCTAATATGCCTGCTCTTCTTCTTTAGCTGTCCTTTCTGCTTCTTCTTTCTCTTAATTTTTCTTCTTCTTGTTCTTCTTCTTTTTTGCTATAAACAGAAAGTGTGCACCTACAACTAGGTCGCAGCTCGAAATTCAACAAAAAAAAAATAATCAAGCTCAAGTTGAAACACAAAAAAAAAATTGTAAATTTAAAATTAAAATTAATATGAATTTTGTTGTTGCTGTTGTTTTTTTCTTCTTCATCTTTTTCGTTGTGCGTTTGCCTCCCTATTGCTCCTCCACGCTGATGGTGATGATCATGGTTGGTCAATAGTGTCCGCCGGGGCCGACGCCGCCACCTCCGCCGCCGCCGCCGCTGTGTCTGTGATGTTCACGTCGTCCGGCGGACTGATCCCGGTCGCGATAATCGCCGTTGCGCGAGCTGCTCTTGTGATGATGATGATGATGCCGCTTCTTCTCGCCCTTGAGGCACACATCCGACACGACCATCTCCGAGTTGTCGCGCATGCCATAATTATCTCGGCCGCATCTGTGAATCGAGGTGAATTTAAAGCTATTAGATTTTGTATTTAACAAGAACTTTAACATGTACTTTAGCATGAACTTTAATATGTACTTTGACAGAAAGTGTAATATGTAGTTTAACATGCAGTTAAAAATACATGAACTTTAACACGTACTTAAACATGCAGTTAAACATGTACATACATTAACTTGCACTTGAGCACAAGTACGTTAACATGTAGTTTAACATGCAGTTTAAATATATATTTGATCTATTAAATGGCAACATCTGGTTCAACTTGAATTTATCTTCGTTTGTCATTTGATTCACTTGTCAAATACATTAACAACGGCGTTGCCACCTTGTGAATAAATTAAGTGGCAACACTTTATCATGTCTAACAGCTGCTTGTCAAATATATTCAACAAGCAGCTGTTTGCCATGAACATGCGAACACGCTTAGCCATTTATCCGCTAGTTAACTTTATCCTCTTGGCAACTTTTAACATTCGTTAATTTACCTGTCCAGATTCTCGCGGGAGCGTTGCATATTGTCGCGCAAATTGTCGCGAGAGCGCGTCATGCTGGGCGGATCGAGCGTCTCCTTGCGGCGCAGTGCATTGTGCGAGCTGTTCTTGGAGGCGGACTCGTGCAGGTTCTCCCACGCCTGGCGATAATATCTGTAAGCGAGAGACAGAGAGAGAGAGAGAGCTTTAGCTGTGAACTGTCAGGAAAGTTTGGCATAGATACGAACCTGTTGAGGCCATTGCGAGAGCCGGAAGTGGAGCTGTCAAAGCTGGCGACCGTGTTGCAGTCGGGCGAGGCGCGATGCCGATAATGCTGCGTGGTGCGGTTTCTAAGAGAGAGCAAGAGAAAGATAGAGAGAGAGAGAGAGAAAGAAAAGAGAGATTATTAGTTAACTTTCTGTGTTCAAGAGCGCGTGAGAGAGAAAGGGCGTGCGCTACAAGGTCCACAACTGGTCGGTGTTAGTTACAAGAGAAAGAGAGAAAAGAGAACACAAGAGAGAGAGAGAGAGAGAGAGAAAGAGGGTAATAAAGAGTGCGGGAGGTTAGATACACATAATATACATATAAGTTGAGAGATGCAACACAAAAGAGCGACAGAAGAGCGAAACGTGCAGTGTGTGAGCGAGAGAGAGAGAGAGAGAGAGGGAGAAATAGAGAAAATGTATGCAAAGATCATGTGTGTGTTCGTATGTGTATCTGTGTCTATGTGTGTGTGTGTGTGTGTGTGTGTGTGGCCCGACAACAGCGTTTGATTGATTGACTGATTGATTGATTGATTGACTGATTGATTGATGAAATGTAACAGCAAAAACAGGCAGCCCCCCACAGCATTCGATCGCAAAGTCACTTTCAAGTTCCTGAATTGAAATTGCATTGCATTCTGTTTTGTTTGATTGAGTGATTGATTGATTGATTGATTGTTTGTGTGTCTTGGCTTGTTGATTGAGCGTGTATTGTTGTTGATGTAGTAGTTGTATTGTGTTGTTGTTGTTATTGTTATATGAGGTATATGTGTTGTTGTTGTTGTTGTTGTTGTTTTGGCTGCTTACATTTGTGTGTATGGCCGTTGTGCGGTTTGATTGAAGGCACACAGTTTCGTTGTGATTGATCTGATTGATTTGTTTGATTTGTTTGATTTGTTTTGGTATTGCTTAAATTGCTTGATGCTCGATCGAGTTGCTGAGTTGTTTGATTGTAGCTCATCTTTGGCACACGTTCACATTACGTTCGCAGGTAGTCTTCGGTATTTGGTTGCACATTTCAAATTCGTTTCGTTTCGCTTCGTTTCGTTTCATTCCCATTTCATTCCCCTCTCTACGTTTTGGTCACTCTTTGGCTTGTTCCTTCGCTCTCTTTGCCCGCTTACATGTGGCTGCTGCTAAACAGCCCCGCCCTCGCTCGATAGCCACGCCCATAGGTGCTCAGCTCGCGCCGCGCCAGCTTCTGATCGTCGAAGGGCAGCGCCAGGACGCTATACCAGAGCGAGCCCGCCGGCTCGCAGCGTGTGCTCGAACCGATGCTGCCGTATCCATCGCCAAAGAGCCGCATATGATAGCCACCGAGCAGGCCGCCGCCGCTTCCAATCTTGCCGCTGCAGCGCGTCAGCTGTGCCGTCGAGGCGTAGCTGGTGGCGCTTCTGGCCGTTGCCGTTGCATAGCTGGGCAATCGGTTTGGCGGCGCTCCGCTGCCTCCCCTTGCCTCCTGCTGCAGCCTCTCCTGCTGCTGCTGGCGTCGCTGCTTTTGTTGCTGCTGCTGCTGCTGCTGCTGGTGCTTCCAGTGGAGCTGCTGGTGTTGTTGGTGGTGGTGCGGCCGCGGATGCTGCTGCTGGTGGTGATGATGGTGGTTGTGATGATTGTAATTGGTAAAATGTTTAGCGAGGTGCCGCCGTTTGCTGTTCGGGGTGCTGACGAATGATTTGCCGAGGGGTGAGAAGAGAGCGAAAACGAAAACGAAAAAAGAGAGTTGTACAACAAGAAAGAGAAAGCGTTTCGATGTAACGATGTATGCGTGAGTGAGTGTGTGTGTGTCTGTTTGAGAGTGTGTGTCGGTGTGTGTGTGTGTGTGTGTGCAAGGCAGAGAGAGAGAGAGAGAGAGAGAGAGAGCGAAAGAGAGAGAGAGAGACGCTGCTCTACTTTTGAGTATGTACATTTATGGGCGAATATACAAATGAGAGCGAGCTGAACAGCTGGGTGAGAGAACGAGAGAAAGAGAGAGAGAGAGAGAGCGAGAGAGCGAGAGATATAAAGAGCGAGAGAGAGAACAACAACAAACAACAACGACAACAACAAAACAATGGAACAACATGGGAGAGAGGAAGCGAGCAACAATTACAGGGTATACAGGGTATACAGCACGGAAAGGGTATATAGTTTGTGTCAAAATTTTGGTGTAATTGCGGGCATTAAATACCTAAAACTATGTTAAGCACCTTAAATTAAAGCCATCGTATTACTTTCCAGCTTTTACTCAGATTCAATCTACAAGTTTCCGCTTATTGAAATCGTATTGCGTTTCAATTTTCAATTTTTAGACTTTATCTTCATCTTTTAGTCGATCTTAAGCTTCAGATAAATCTTTAACTATTTTCAATTTAATCTTATTTTAATTCAATTTCAAATTTCAGTTTTCAACTTTCGACTTCATTTCAATTGTGGCTTTCAATTTCAGCTTCAATCCGATTTCTTATTTCAATTTCAAGCAGCAATTGAATTTATGGATACGAATCAGCTCATAGTGTCTGCTTTCAATTTGAACTTCAATTTAAACATTTACTTAATTTCAATTTTGTCTTCAATTAAATGAAATGTAATTTCCTGCTTGCTTAAATTTCAACTTAATTTTCTATATTAATTCAAGCTCAAATTTGCGTTTTATTTTTACTTCAGTTTCAGCTTTTAATATAAGCTCCAACACTACCTTTCTATTTCAATATTTCTTTCAACTTACAAATAAACTTCAACTCAGATTTCAGTAAGAATTTGAATTAATGCGCCTAAAAATCACTTTCAATGTAAATATTAGCATTCAATTTCAAGCTTTTAATTTCCACTATCGATTTCTACTTTCAATTTCTACCATCTACTGTGGGTTTTGAGTTCAATTTCAATATCAGTCACAACCTATTATAAACACGACACTTGAAATTTATTTTTAGTTTCAATTTTGAGTTTTGCTCCTTTCAACTGTGGCTTTCAATATTGATTTTAGCTTCTACTAAAAAAATGTACTTGCATTTCAATCTGAGTTCATAATTTAAAAATAATTTCAACATTTAATGTAACTTGATCTTAATTGAGCTTAAATGAGCTTCAAATTAAATTTTAACATTCAATTTTAGCTTTCAATTTTAGCTTTCAATTTCGACTTTCAACTGTTGCATTCAATTTCAATATCAATCTGAACTTATAGAAATTTCTGCATTTAATAACTCTATTTAATTTCTGATTTCAATTTCCGCTGTTTGTATTTTAGTTTTCATCTGAACTTACAACTTCGACTTTCAATTTCGTTCTTCAATTTCAATTTTCAATTGAACAGACTGTTCAATCAGTTTGTATGTTATTTATCAGTTGAAAGAGGCACTCACCTTCTGACAAGGATGACAATCGTGGTGATAACAGCGGCCAGGAAGACGAAGCCACCAAAAGCACCAAGAGCCACAATGGCGCCCAGATTGAGTTTGGCCTCTTTGGTCTCCTTGCGGTCGGGATTGTCGACGGCGAACGGAACGTTGACATTGGGCGATTGATTCTGTCGTATGTTGACGCTGTCCGCAATCTCATTATCCTGCGGATGCGAATTGAGTATGATCTGCTGTGTGTTTCGCGTGCTCGTCTCCAGCGTGGGACGCGTGCGCGCCGGAGTCGGCGCATAGGTGGACACTGGCGCCGGCGCATGCTGCGTGGTGCTCGTGGCCGGCGTGCTGCTCGGCTTCTTGGGAATGAGCACGGGCCGGACGGTGCGCCGGGGCGGGAACTCCTCGCGCACCGTGCCCGGCACGGGCACATTGATGTTGTCCTCCTCGGAGTCGGCTACGGATTGGATTGCGTTTAAGAATCTACCTACGCTATGCTCTGCTTCCGTCTTTACTCACCCTCGCCGTTGATTTCCACGTGCGGCGTGCTGTGACTGGGATGTGGATGCGGATAGCTGGCTGCGGTGCTGGGCGTGGCACTGCTGCTGCTGCTGCTGCTGCTGGAGGAGGAAGAGGAGGGACGATAGGCGGGCGTGCGGCTCGTGCTGGCCGTGATCTTGGGCCTATACGAGGGCGGCACGGGCGTCGCAGCCGTAGAGGGCGGCAGCGGTGGTGCGGCGGGCGTGGCCAGCGTGGAAGGCTCCAGCTTAATGCAGCGCGGCAAAGCGCTGCTCCACTGTCCCGTAGCCAGGCAGCTGAGCACACGCGGCCCCTCCATGCGGTAGCCGGGTGGGCAGCTGATCTCCGCCTTGGAGCCGTAGTAGGTGCCATTCGGCGCACTGATTATCGTATTGTAATAGTTGCCCGGCAGCGTATCGCACTCGACAACTGTGAAAATGCCAGGATGAGTCGGTTGCAAGGATTTCACAGACATGGACTTACTCTCGCAGCGTGGCGGCGGTCCATTCCAGCGCTCGTCAAAGTCGCAGGTGAGCAGAGCGCGTCCGATCATCTCGTAGCCCTCGTCGCAGGCGTACTTCACCAGGCTGAGGTAGCCGACGGTGCCATTGAGCAGCCCGTAGGAGCCGTGCGCTATGCTGGCGGGCAGGCCGCATTCAATGTCTGAAACGAAGGCAAAAGCCATTCAAAAACTCTCTCAGAAAATTTAACCCTAATCCCACAATTTGTATGATGTGACTTAACTCTCTTTGAGATTGAATCAATGTGTGAAATGATTGAAACGAACCATTGAAAAGATCGTAAGGGAATGATTGACAAGAACGATTAATTGATTGAAAGCAATGCTTGAATTGAACAATTGAAATGAAAGATTGGATTGAGCAATTGAATTGATTGAACGATTGAAACAAATGCTGAAAGTGAATGATTGGAATGAACGATTGATACGAATGATTAAAATTAACGATTGACACAAACTATCCCTCTTGAACCGAACGACTAAAAGGAAAGATTGAAACGAATGCTTGATGACTAACATGAATGTTTGAATTGCACAATTGAATCGAACGTTTAATAGGAACAATAGAAGTGCATGGTTGAAGTGACGAATGACTTAACTGAATCATTGAACGGGCACCAATCAATCAAAAGATTGAAAAGAATCGAAGGGAACGATTGAAACGATAATCTGGAACTTAGTTCCATCGAACTCATCCAGAAAGATTTGACTTTCAACTAGGCTTAGGCATAAGTACTTATTCTTATGGTCTCCACATGATACTCATGCATCCAGCCCGGATCATCTTCTTAGTCTGCTGTTGGGTACTTACATTTGCAGACGGGCGGAAATTCGTTGTAGAAGCCGGTCTCGAGGCAGGTGCGTGTTGCAGGTCCCACAAGCAAATGATTCGCATCGCAGCTGTATTTAATCTGTGCGCCAACCTCGTAACCATTCAGCGCAATCATAGTGGAGTTCGGCGGCTGTTCGGGCCGGCCGCAGGTCTTCGGCTGATGCTGGCATATGAAGTTGAGCAGCGTATTGCAGTTGGTGTCGCTCCAGAGCCAGCCCTTGGAGCCGTCAAAGCGGGCGCAGTCCTCATCGCCGCCGGGATGATTCCAGAACGAGACGGTCAGCTCATCGCCATTGACCCACTTCCAGCTGCTGCGATCGCTGCCATCGCGCACAGCTCCCATCCAGTACTGGGAGCTGATATCGCTGCGATGGCGACGCCACAGCTCCCAGCTGATGAAGCCCTGCAGCGCCGGATTGCTCTCGCTGATCAGCGTGCCGCCGCGCGAACGGCAGAACGACAGCGCGTCCAGAAAATTCAACGGCTGGCGATTGTAGAATATATAGCATTTGCCATTGTAGGAGGCCAGTGCGCCCGGCGGCTGATCCCGGAACGTGGGACAGCGTTCGATGGGCAACGCCTGATCCGTATAGACGAATGCCTCGCATATGGACAACGGATTCGGTGTATTGTTCTCCAGATGTACGCTAACAAAGGCGCCCGGCATTGGCGGATTGCATGGCAGGAAGAGCGGCTGTCCGGCCTCCAGTAGGCCCGTAAAACGATTGCATATTGGATTTGTGCCCAAATCCGGACGATTGTTGCCAACGCGCACCACAATTGTCGCCGGCTTGTTGCCTGCAAATCAATAAGAAGAAGACGAAACAATGAGCAGCTATGGCAAATGTGGCAAATGTTGCATGCAGCATGTGGCATGCGGCATGCGGCATGCGGCATGCGGCATGTGCAGCGGGTCAGTGAAGTTCAGTGCGCAGTGAAAGTAATCATAAATATTCGGCTGCCGTTCGTGCCCCAGCACCTGCCCCCGCCTCCGTCCCGCCGTCTCTGCCCCTGGCCCTGCGACAGAGCCGCCGCTTGAAAATCACATAACATTTTTATTTTATTTTCTTCTGGCCTGTGGCAGCCACAACTTGTTGCAGCCAAGTGAAAGCATTTGGGAAAAAAAAAACACACACACACACACACATTGACTGACTCGTCCACCACCTCGTCCCACCCTTTGCCAACCTGCCAACCCGTCCGGCGAGTTCGTGCCCAATGCTGAGCGCCTGCAAAAAAACAAACTTCGCAACTAACTGAAATTTGGCATCGAACTGGGCTTAAACCTGCCTTTTTATAACTGGAGTGGATTTTAATGTGTACACGAAATGTGTTATGTCGTTATAGCCAGATCCGATTGTCTTCTTCTATGCGATCTCCTCTACAATATATCCATCTATCTGTTGCAGGCAGCACTTAGATCAGACCTGATCGTAGCTCTATGAATATCTGCCGTAGGAGCGATAATTCTAAAAGTAGTTTCCTGCATGAAAAACTTATTGCTGACCAAGATATCCTGACCAAGCCTCTCACATATAAGCTAAACTATGCTGCTTAAACACGAGCCAAATTCTATCAAGATCTCGCATCTAAGTATATTATGAAGTTCTATGGGAAGAATCGAAATAAGTTCTTATATTGCAAGCTATTCCGTTTTTCGAAGATATTTTCGTCAAGCGTTACGTATCTGTAAAAGTATTGAGCCTTCCGAGATAAGTATATCTTCTTCCCAGATTCTCTTTCAGTAATAATTCCCCAAACTAAGAACAACTACAGGAAAGCTTCACTTTACTAAGCTTCTCATTTTTAGGAAGCTTTTAATATGTCTAATTACACACTCAATTTCAAAGTTATTCCAGCTAATCGCTTATAAAGCTTTCTATAAATAAAAGAGCTTCAAAAGCAGCGGAAAACCTTCAGTTAGAATCTTAAAGCTCAACTTTGCTGGTTATGCTGTGAGCTTTTCTTTTGTGAGCAACTGAAAGCTCTTTCTAAAGCTTGTCAAAATAAATGAATGCTTAACTTTTTTCGCATTTATATGAAAAGCAGCTTACAGCTTTTGCTTAATCAAATTTTTAATAGTTAAAAGTTGTTTATAAAGCTCCTGAAAGATCTTCAAATTGTTTTTGTTTCTTAAATTCAACTTGGCAGCTATTTTTTTTAAAGTACTTAACTCTAATAGTGAAATACCTGAAGCTTAAAGCTCTCTTAAAGCTCAAAGCTTCACTTATTTCAAGGAATGTTTGATTGTGGAACTTACCGCAACAGGATTTACCAAAGTCCAGACGCACCAGCTGCACCATATAGGGCTCCAGCAGATTGACGTACCACCAGGGCGAGCGTTCGGGCTTCGTTAGGGAGCACGTCTCCGGCGTAAAGAAGGCCGACGTGGAGCCATCGATGGCCTTCTGCGGTGCGCCAGCCCCATCCGTTGATATTTGCATCGGCGCCTTGCCAGCGGCCACATTTAGCACTGCAAAGATGAGAAATATTTTGCAGAGTTAAGATTCGGAGAGATTCGCATACAGATTGAGTGTTTTGTCTGCCTTCAGGCTTTTGTCTTATTGTTTTTGGCGTGTTTTTCTTTTTCGTCATTTCCCAGGCCAAGACAAGGTCTGCCCAACTGGCCAGGGCTAGCACAGTGCGCCGCATAAGTCTGTGCCTGGCCCTGACACGCTTTCTGGGCTACAAAACGAACAAATTTAAACAACAAATCTAACTGAAACAAAAAAGTTCTCTCTGCCTGCAAATTTGTCAAGTCAAAGTCGCCAACTCGTCTGACCTCCACTGGCCAATTAGTTGAGCGAAGGGGCGGGAGGCGGGACGGCTAGAATCCAGCGAGTGTTACAAGGCCCAAACAAATTGTGGGCAACTGCGAACATATCTCAGAGTGCATAACTGGGAAGTGCCTGATCTGCATATACCCTATAGATCTGCTTCGTAGATGCCCTGAAGATACCCTGTAGATACCCTGTAGATACCCTGCAGATACCCTGTAGATACCTTGCAGTTAGCTAGTAGATACTCTGTAGATACTCTGTAGATACCCTGTAGATACTCTGTGGATACTCTGTGGATACTCTGTAGTTACTCTGTAGATACCCAATAGATACCCAGTGGATACCCTGTAAAACCAGCTCGCTCTGTTTTTTCTTGCTTTGGTTCCAGAATTTGTTTGAGATTTGCAGCCTTGTACTATTTCGAAGTTTACAGTTCGATCTTCTTGATATTTTCAAGGATTTAAAATGGCAAACTGTGTGCATACCAAAGCGCAAGTTTATATCTGCAAAATGTAAGATGTGTCTTCATGTCTATTGACTATACGAGAGGCTAGAGACAAAGCTCTAATACTTTTCCACTTAAGCTTGAGCAACCTAGTCCCAAAATGAATATTTATTATTTTTATAAAATTTTAGAAGATATCGAGGAAACATTCTAAGCCCATGCTGTGTATATTATGGAAAGAATATCTATCTAATATGTCAAGTCTCTTCCTAGTTTCCGGTATCGATTCGTTCGAACAGAGTTACAGATAGACGAACTTAACTAGATCGACTTCGATGGTGATCCTGTTCTTGAATATGTCTACTTTTTGGGCTTAATTTGAGCCTCTTTTCTTATTTTCATATGTTGCTTTTAACATTTTTTTTTGATCATTTTGAATGGGTACAGGGCATAACATATATATTTAAGCAAAAGTGAAATTTTGGATATTTTTTTTTTCTTTCAACTTTTTCTTTCAACTGTTTTTGTTGTTGTTGTTGTTGTAATTGTTGTTGCTTGGGCTTAATTACATTGCTACGCACTTGTGTGTGTGTGTGTGGCAGCATAGAGATTCATTAATCAGATGCATCTGTCGGATAAAAGGCACTCGGGCTCACTCAGCTCTAAAGCTAGGCAGGCAGCGGCTCATGACGCGCTCTCAGATCGCAGATCGCAGATCGCAGATCGTAAAAAATCTTCCTCTTCTTCTTCTTCTACTTCTTCTTCATTTCTTTTGGCTTGAACTGACTTTCTACAGAGCAGAGCAACTGCTTCCACTGATCCATGCTTATCTGGCTGGCAGGTGCCTCCACTTGGCTCCACTTCCAGCTCCATTTCGGCTTCAAGTTCAAGTTTCAGGTTTCAAGTTTAATTGGATACTCGGCTTTGGACAGCTTTGTGACAAATGCATTTGCATTGGCGATTTAATTTCAATTCAATTTCAATTTAATTACAATTATTTTTACAATTTCATGTTAAGTTTGCAGTTTTCTGGCTGGTTTCCATTTCTATTATTTATTTTACTTCCAACTACTTTAACATTTGTGTTTTTAAAACAATTTTAATAAATTTTTTTTTTCAATTAGATTAAATTTTCATTTTCATTCAATTTTAATATAGTTTCAATTCAAATTAAATTTCTGCTCAAGTTCAATTTTATTAAATTCAATGTTGATTTGATTTAAATTAAATTAAATTGAATTTTATTTATTTAATTTTATTATTCATTTTCAATTCAAGTCAATTTAAATTCAATTTTATTTTATGTTAATTCAAATTGAATAAAGCATTTATTCAATTTGATTTAAAATCAATTTCTATTCAATTTCAATTTGATTTAAATTCAATTTCAATTTAACTTAATTTTAGTTCAATTTAATTTTATATTTATTTAATTTTATTTAAATTGTAATTCGATATATATTTTATTTTGATTCAATTTTTATTCAATTTCAACCGATATTTCAATTGACAGATTTGTTCTATGTTTTTCTGACTTGAAATAAGCTGGTTTCATCAATTATATTTTAATTAGATCAACTTTTAGTATCAATTCAAATGTTAATCAATTTCAATTTGATTTAAATTCAATTTCAATCTGCATTATCCAAATCACTTTTTAATTGAAAGTTTCCACAATAAATTTTGATACCTTTCCATTTATTTTAACTTCACGCAGTGAACTCCGTCGTTTTTTTGGTTCTAGTTCTCCAATTTCTTGTTTCAATTCGATTTCAGCCTTTCAATTTCGCTGTCTCCTCGCAGTTTCAGTTTCAACTTTAACCTCACTTTTAAATGCTTTCCCTCTGTGACAAATGGCTTTGAACTGGCCCACTTTTTTTCCTGTTACTATTTCTGTTACAATTTTCAATTTTCGAACTTCAATCTTCAATTTCCATTTGATTTGAGCTCTCAACTATTCAGTTGTGCGCGCCACCGCCTGCTGCGTCATCGTATCCCAATCATCGGCACATTCAATTTTGCGCTACGCTCTTTCAATTCTTCATTGTTCAATTAATCAATGAAACTTACGATTCGTACCGCCGGCTGTTCGTTGCCATCATCATTCAGTTCGGACAATTTGTCTGCAGGGCGCAATTTGCCACTCGAAAATCAGTGACAGCCGTAATTCAACAACAAAAAAAAAATAAAACACACACAAAAACCGTTAACGCTTTTCGAACTATTCCCGAACCGTAGTAGCTGGCGACAAAATTGACACGCACACCAAGTCATGTTCAGCTGACCCTCAACCTAATCCCAACCAGTTGCGACTGAAGAATTCAAATGCAATTCTGTTCTATTCTTGTATAAACCATGCATCATTGAATAAGTTATCGATAAATTGTGTCGCAGATCGATTAATTAATCTCGATATAGGTATAGACAGATCGTTTGAATAAGATTCAGGTATCAAGTGTGAATACCAGCTCCAACAGGATTGTATTTACGAGCCATAAGCCTCATCCATAGCTCTCTCTTATAATCGAGTATGACGATCGAGTTTTCGATCTCAGATAGATATTAATACAGAAGTATCTATCAAGTGTACACATCAGCATTAAGCCCGGCCACATCGAGCCCTAACATGCATCAGCAGTTGCCTCAGTTATCGATCAATGTAGTTGACTATCGATAAATGTTGTTGACTATCGATTAGTTACTCGAAGCTAAGGATAGAGATTTATGCAAATATAATTATCAAGTGTAGCTTTGCATAATATTTACGAACTTCACTTAGTTATCGATAAATTTGATCGATCCCACCCAAGATCAAAATGGAAGTAGATATGAAGATATCGATTCATAGATGTGAAAAAGCGGGCTTCAGACTGTATCATCATTTTTTCATTGGTTCAAACCAAAAGTCAAACCGGCGGCGTTTTCTTCGACTGGCAGCCTTGATAGCTCTTCGCAGGTGCATTTACTAGTCAGGTATTAATTGTTCTTCCCAGTTGAATAGAAAGAACTGCGCAACTGAGGAGGTATTCGGGTTGGGCATGCAGGCAGGCAGGCAGGTTGAATCGTATCTATTACAAAACAGTTGTAAGTCAATTCGAAACTGGTTTGACTAATGACCAAAATATGCCCCGAAACAGTTATGCAAACTAATCCGTGAAAAGAAAAGAGAATAAAACGAGTTTGCAGTCGCGTGGGCGTAGCTAAACGATGTTTAGAAAAGAACTATTTCTGTTTGAGCTGTTACTTCAGACAGACTCATTCAAGACCGAAGTGCAGCATGCGATTCCGAATCTTTGTCAATTCAACTTTGTTTTGTTTTAGTTTCAAAACAAATGTTAATTGAATTTGAACTTAACTAAAATTTGGTTTCTCTGCATAAAAAATCCAATTTTTAATTCAATTTCGACATGTTTTCTATTTAGCTTCAATTTCAATGCGATTTGCGTGAACCGCTTCTGTCAATCAATTTTCACGTTGTTTGCCTAACGGGCGGAAGTTGTTGTCAAGTCAACTCCACTTGGTAAATCACTTAGAACATTATTTTTTTTATAGATCTTAAATGTTGTCCGTGGTGTTTGAGACGAGCCACAAGAGAAAAAAAAAACAAACACGAACACGAAACGAACCACCAAAAATGTGGGTCAATTCGTTGCGTTCAATTCTCAACTCGCATTTTTTTTTTGTGTACGCTTTTTTGTTGTTTTTTGTGTCTGTGTGTTCCGCCTTTCATCGAGAAGACACACACTCGCACACAAAATTGTGCGTCGTGTTAATCATGTTTCACTTGGCAACTCCACACGACAACTTTGCATTTGGAATTGGTTTTCGGATCTGGGATTCGGGTTTGAAATTGGAATTCCGATGGCGCGTGTATCATTGAGAACGTTCGATTCGTCGTTTTGTTGTTGTTGTTGTCGTTGTTCGTGGTGAAAGTTGTTGTGCACATATGGAGAGCACATGCCTTCGTTTTCAGCAGCTACCTAGTTGAAGGTGCTAATTGACTCTACAAAATGCTCAACTGGCCAATTGGATGTGGCAAGTTTGTGGCTTAAGTCTTTTGTTTGCGTCTGGCACTTCTGAATACCCTCTATTTGGTGTGGTGCAGGAAAAGATAGAAAAGCTAACTTCTAAATACCCTATATAAATACCACGTAGTGAGCACTAAATGTGGCAAGTTTGTGGCTTAAGTCTTTTGTTTACTGCAGACACTTTTCAATACCCTGTCCCCATTTGATGTGGGTAAGGAAATGATTGAATAAGTAGGGGAAGATACCCAAATACCCTATATAAATACCCTACAATGTTTATGTGTTTGAGCATATTGTTTGCGCTAACAGGGTTTTTGCTAGTCGTGCTTACATTCCGTTGTTGGTCACGAACGAATGTGCACTATGCTGAGAGTAGAACAGAAGATTTCTTTTGGACAGTATTCAAAACAGTCACAATATATGTTTTGGCTTCTTAAAACATCTTGATATCTTAAAAAAGGGTATCTGCTAGTCGTACCCTTTTAGAAGCAAACCCGGGTCAGTCATAAAAGTGGAATGTGCCGAAGCCAAATGTGATTTTGTGATTTTGTTGTTTACAGGGTGACTGCCAGTCGAGCAGTCTCTGTTTTGGTTTACTTACCACAGAAGGGTATACCCTCTGGCACCCATTGGCCCTTGTCGCAGACACGTCGCGCAGGTCCCAGCAGCTCAAAGCCGCGCTCGCAGCTGTAGGAGGCGACGGTGCCCTGCGTCAGGTTCGCGCTGGAGAAGACGACGCTGCTGTGCGCCGGCGAGCCCGGAAAACTGCAGTCCCCATCTGTAAGAGAGAGCGAGAGCGAGAGAGAGGTTTTAGTTAATTTTTGTAAATATTTCGAGTGAAATTTGTTAATAAATTAATATGCATTTATGCATGGGAACTTCTAACCGCCTATTAAAAATTCATCAATAATCAGCGCTGCGAATTGGCCTCTGGCCAGACAACAACTGAGTGAGCTCTTAATTTGGATGAGCGCTAGCATCCAAGTTGAACTATCTTCCCAGCCATGCATATAATTGTAAGCTATAGTACTAACGATTCGCGCTGGAAGAGTTGGCCCTAGTGTTCAGGATTTCCAGTCTCAAAATTCCAGGCCAGGCTCTACTGAAATTCTTTAGCTATAGGGCCTAAGCTTAGTTCCAGAGAACTGCACGACAAAAGAGAGCAGACTTTCATAACACCCTTTATTTCACGAGCACTGCAAATCCACTTCTATGAGTGGAAATGGAAGCACCAGGGTAGAAAACGGGTGAATTAATTGTTGATAAAATACAAGAAATATACTTGAACTATGCATAACAATCAAAAGCTGAAACTCAGCACAGAACGTGAAATATGTACGAATACAGCCCAGCGTATGCGACATTTTCAAAATTCCAAATAAAGTAACATTTCAATGGAGATTAGGAAATACATTGGAGCACCTTTCGAGCCGGAAATTATGATTGCAGTTGCACAAAAGAAAAACGCGCGATTCAATTCGAATCCTACGGGCAACTCTCTGGCGGACAACTCATAATATTTCGACGGCAATGTCGACATTTGTCGGCCAACAGCCTGTCAAATTCCCAAGTCAACTGGCCAACTAGCTGGCCAATGGCTTTCGACTGGGCAATTAAGCAAGTTCCGTTCCAGTTTGCATTTGCACGCTGGACACCAAGTTGTTAACTTGCTTGTTGGCGTTGGCAAAACGCCTCAAAAATGCAAAGCATTCGGCATTGCAAAATGTTCTCAGCCTCTGTTGTTGCTGTTGCCTGCCTGCAATTGCTGTCAATGCAAAGCGTGAGAAAAAGTCCACAACAACAACAATAACAACAACAACAGCAGCGACAACAATCGCTGTCAAGCATAAGGTAACAAAATGCTTCTGATTGTGCGATACTCTACTCTGGCTCGGACAAAAGCTTAAGAATTTTGTACGTGGCGTGCAAACTTCCTTTAAGGCAACACTCTTCCATATATTTAAGGGAGTGTGTGAAAAAGTCGGACTAAAAAGTCAGGACCTATAAGCAAGCCTACCTAACAAATTCGGCGCGTCTAGCTCTTATAATTTATGAGATATGCCCAATCGATATTTATCGATTTCAAGCATCAAGTAGGCAAATATCGTAGAAATACATATCAACTACTATGTCTTTAGAATATTTTCCACTAGCTATACTATATAAATATTTGCTATATATACCAAAGAAATTAGTTGTGTCATCGATATTTATCGATATACACGTATATATACGATATTTATTGATTTTAAACTACATATTGTCAAATATAGAATAAATACTTTGAAATTGTAGTCTGTAGTTTCCGTTAGCCACATTCCATCAATATTTATCGATTGTAATACCAGATATTTAGCATATCAGGCCTTGGCGTAATTTCGATACTTGTCGATAATAAGCAACATATTGAAATATATCGTATAATTACTATAAGCTTTTAGTCTCTAGCTCATAAAAACAGCTCCCACTAGCCATATTCCATATCTATTTAGCAGATATGCTTACAGAAATCTGCATGTGAAATCGATATTTATCGATTTTATGTATATGGCGGCAGATATAGAAAGCTACTTAAACGGCTTCTGTGTACTATAAGCAATGTGCAAGTATACTGTATATGACTTGTCTCTAATCAGGTGTGAATTACGCATGAAATAGTTTTCCACCTAAATTCCACACTATATTGTGGAATTTATCTATGTTTTACTTACAAAAAGTGAAACTTTTTTTTGCAAAATTGAGTTGTTTCTGGTGCTCGCTATTAAGTGCTAAGTCGAGCAATTATCACAAACAGTTTTCCATATATATATATAGAGGCTATTTCTGGCTAAAATTCATGGGTACAATTGCTGCTCGCTTAAAGAAAGAAAACCTTAGTTACTTGCGCCGCACCTCGCTGCAACCTTAAGGTAACTGAATATCTTTAAATCTGTGAGATTTGCGAACAACGTATCGTATGCTAAATCAAATATCTGGCAATTGTTGTTGCTGCTGCTGCTGTTGTTGTTGTTGTTGTTGTTGCCTTTCAGTGATTATATTTTCAATTTAGCTAGTTCCCAGGCGCATTTGCATGTCATGCAATGGCGATGGCGACGGCGACGGCAAACTGCGGCGTCTGTTCATCATTCGGATGTGAATTGCTGCTGACCGCTGGCCATAGATCATGATGTTGCTGCTGTAGCTGTTGCTGTTGCTATTGCTGCTGCTGCTGCTGCTGCTGCTCCATATGTGAGTCAGTTTGATGTTGCTGCCGCCTGTTGCTGTCGTGTCGGCAGCAAATTCCAAGCTAAACATTATCATTCCCCAGACACAGACTCTGAGCTTGAGTTCTGAGCTGTTGTTGCTGCTGTCGTTGTTGCTGCTGTCGTTGTTATGTATGTCATTTCATGCTGCACACAGCTGGCAGATCATTAGGCAGCGCTTGCTTTATAGACTGTGCACACTCTTGGGCATTCAGTCATGCCATAAATGCTCGAATAACTGCAGCATCATTTGACCAATGCAACTTTCCAAGCAACTCCAACCAGAGCCAAGCAGCTGCAACAACAGCAACAATTGCTGGCGTGTTATGGCCAGTTGCAAGTGGCAGACAGCCGCTGCTTATACAATCAATGTCGAGCAATTTCATCATAACGGTTACCCGTTGCCTGCCCCATGTTGCTGCTGCCTGTTGCTGTTGCTGTTACCTGTTGCTGCTGCCTGTTGCTGTTGCTGCTGCCTCTGCTTTGTCTACAAATTGCTGCGACCGGCACTAATCAAATTAGTGCAGCCAAATTTAAATTCATCACACAAAAAGAAAATAAATAAAGCAGAAAATCAAGCAGGAAAAAAAAAACAAGAAAATATACATGTATATATAAAACGGGGAGACAATTGCAATTGCCGGAGTCAGAAATTAAGAAATCAAGTTCATGAAAATTTTCAATTTCAGTTTCAGCGCGCCGCGAGGGCAGCGAAAGAGGAAGAGGCGAGGCGAGGTGAGGCGTAACTCCCACGCTGTGCGCTGAGACGAGCCGAAAAAGAAATTGGAACTGGAACTGGAACTGGCGAGCTCTGCTGCCCAAAGAGAGCTAAGGAAAAGGTTGAGCCAAGGCGTCAGCCAAGCATGGCAATTGTGTGCGGGTCGCCTAGCTGACTATATATACATATCTATATATATATTTACCTATATATATGCATATATATGCTATATAGGGTATAAGCATAAGTTGTTGTTGTTGTTGTTTTTGTTACCTGCCGCAACGTGCAACGTTTTGTTTGTCAGCTTTTTTTTTGTTGTTGTTTGCTTTTCGTTTTTTTTTGCCTTTGCTTTGCTTTCATTTGGCTTTCTACGTGCGCCAACCTAGTGAAAGTGATAGCCCGCATATAAAGCTATAACTATATGTACACACACACACACACACACACAGACACACACACACACACTTGTGGCCAGTGACAACCAGAGCAATTTGTTCAAAAGACGCAGCAACATTTTTGATGCTTGGCATATTCATTGTGTGCGCGGCATTTAAAATCTTCGTATATAATTCATAATAAACATAATAATGTTAATAATCGTAATGAGCCATAAAATAACATTAATAATTTGCAGTCAGCTGTTGCTTTTGTTGCTGCTACAAATTGCCCATCAACGCCTGTTGCTGTTGTTCAGAAATCGAATTGTTTACACAAAGACTGGCCAAAGAGCAGGCCACAGCAGGAGTATATGTAAGGGGAGGGTAGGGTTTGGTAAACAACTTACAGATAAAAAGCATTCATCGAGCCAAGAAAACACACACACACACGCACACACACGAAAAAGCGAAAGCTTCGCAGAGCCGCGCGCCGTCCAGCCGGGTCAGCAAGGCCACCAACAATGCGCCGAGCTGCTGTGTTGCGGGGGCACGTGCAGTAGGGTGTGGAAGGGGTGGAGCGAGGAGGGCAAGGGTGTGCTGGCAGGCAAGTTGTATTGTTGCTGTGTTGTGCTCTTTTCGCGAGCGCAGGTGAAATGTTAATTGCATGTGAATTGAATGGGCGCTGATCAGTCAATTAGTGTGGAACTAGTTCAATGAACTGTGCGAGCAGCCAAAACTGGTTCAATGACTTGAACGCCAAGTGAATTGCAGCAAGATGAACTAGTTCGGTTTAGAACAACTAGTTCACTGACAAGTCAAGCAGTAAATATAGCTAAAAGGGCTGAAAAAGCTGACAATTGTTGAAGAGCAACACCAAATGTTCAAATAAACTAGTTCAGCAGCTAACTAAGGTCAGGTACAGAACTGAAAAATTGCAAAAATGAGCATTCGAAAGTTAAACAAGCTCCAAGCTTACTAGTTCCAAAGCTTTAGAACTAGTTCCGAGCTAGAGTATGAGTCCTGAAGGAACGGGCGAACTGGCTCGAATTGTTAAACTAATCATTTATGCAAGAAGTTGTCACTATCGGAGCTGGGACTAGTTCCGAGATACAAAGCTCAGCTAAAGAACCAGTTGCAAGAGGGCAAACGAAGCTTGAAGCCAATGTGAATAGCTAATGTAGCTAAGGAAACCATTGTGCGTTGCATGCACAGAAATGAACCGAATGGTCCGAAGAACTAGTTCAGCTGAGCTGTAAGCTCCAGGCAAATGTTGCCGAATGGACTAGACTCTAATAAGCAGCTGCTTGGCTTAAGCAATTGTCCAGGCATCCCCACGCGACCCCCCCTGACTGGAGTGCCCCTCACCAGGCACGCTAATTGCCGGTTGCACGACGCTTTCTACTCGCAACCAAAAATTGTGAGACGCAACTTGAGGCAGAAG